CAGATGTGGCCCAATCATTCTGAAAACAACCCAGACGAGGGTGTTGCTTCCTTGCCTGCCGTAGGTACTCGTTAAGGGACATCACATATTATGTCAAATAACAGCATACCACGTCAAAAAGGTTTCCAAGGTCCTTTGGAGGCTGATGGCGGTAATCCAAAGTACAGTCAAGACGAGCTGCGTGACAGAGGTCGCGAACTGTGCGCTAAAACCATGGTATGTCAGCAAGCCAAATACGGTATGTCAACCATCGTAATCTTACGAGGATAGCACGGTATTGTTCCTTGTCGTCTTCCAAGTGCATCTCTGACTGTAGATTGAAGCCTTTGTCACCTGCAGAGCCCTTTGGTTTTGATATCATTTCTTCACGCCTATTAGTAACGCCTCCTGCAGCTCTCCGTTCAGCCTCTTTCCTGGCAGTGACCTCCTTCTCAAGACGAGCTAAATTTTACACGTAAGTACTGAACATTGATCTTCAAGATCACACTGAAAATATCACAGATTTTCACCTTTGAGGATAGCAAGCTCTTCCTCCTGCTCGTTAAGCTTCTCTTGCAGCACATTGGACCGGTTTTGCTCGCGAGCACCTGACTCATTGCGGCGTGTGGCTGTGTCTCCAGCGGTGGCTTGCACTCGAGACTGTGCTGCAGAATGGCCGCTCGTGTTTCTAGGTGTGTTTTTTCGTGGCATAGGGATTATACTATTGAGGCTAATGCTTCAAAGTCAAGGAGAGATGGTTGTGGTATGAAGAGAACAAGCGACAGAACGGATGTCTCAGATATGTGTTTTGGTTCGATTTCATCAGCCAATCACAATCGCAATGTGAGACTTGCGTTGACAACAAATCCCGTTTGTATCCGTTTGTGTCCGACGTGTCTAAGTAGACCATCGCATGCTATCTTTCTACTTGCAATCTCAATGTTTCTTGTAACGTGCTGCTGATGCCTGCCTCTCACTGTACTGTTTTATGCAGCTGTTGTAACCAGTGGGTAAGCCCAAGTACAGAACGGCGTCATAGACTTGGTCAAGCAGCACCACGATTCAAAGCTACATCCACATTCAACAAAACCCTCATATCTGGTTCTTGCCCTCCGAAGTCCCAGGCGCATGCTGTACGAACTGGATATCCAGACCTGGCAGTCCCTGACCCTTCTTTTCTCTATGAGGAGGTCATACAATATGATCCTAATTTTCCAGATCACGGCCATGTCGTTTCGGAAGGGACAGGCTTGGACTCGCATACAGTGATAGAGGAAGCACTCGCGAGAGCTTCCGACAGTGTACAAACACAAAGGCACTTCGCTGCAGCCACAGAAAGTGACGAGGACAGTCCAGGCCATGCAGACGATGAAGCTGATGAAAGCAATCAGTCAGTCACGTCGGATTCAGACGATGAAAACTTGGATTTTAGTGACATCCAGGCCAATGGGCTTTCTGCATGGGACTCACTTGGAGAAAGTTTTGAAAGGGATGTAACGGAAATGTGTAAGTCAGCAGTGATTCATTGCATTTTGTCTCACTCGAAAAACAACATCAAACCAGCCGCACATTTGAGCGATGACGACTTAGCGATTCTCCGAGTCTTCGCGCTCAAAGTTCGTTCCCACATGACTGCAAAGACATTTTCCATGCTACCGTATGCCTTCCCGAGCGCTCCACCACTGTCCCTGAAGGCTACACGCTCACGCGTCTCTGCATTGTCTGGTGTAACACCGGTACTATATGATTGTTGCATCAACTCATGTTGTTGCTTTGTCGGTCCAAATATCAATGAAGAATCTTGTCCACACTGCTCAGAGGCTCGTCGTAACACACATGGAGAACCTCGTGCACAATTCACGTACATTCCTTTGGTTCCGCGCCTCGTAGCAATGTATAGAAACAAGGATCTTTCGAGCAAGATGCGCTATCGGGCATCTGAACATCACCATGATCCCAACCATTTTACCGACATTTTCGATGGCAGCACATACCGGTCCCTACTTGATCGCTATGTCACCGTCAATGGCACAGAATTGCAACACAAGTATTTTTCTGACCCTCGCGACATTGCTTTGGGAATGGCAACTGACGGATTTGCACCATTTCGCAACCGCAAAACTACCGCATGGCCAATAATCATGTACAACTTCAATCTACCCCCCGAAACTCGGTTTCATCGTCAATTCACGATATGCGTTGGCGTGATTCCAGGACCCAAGAAACCAAAGGACTTCGACTCATTTTTATGGCCTCTAATTGAAGAGTTGCTCATTCTCGCTGTAGGTACACGAGCATATGATGCACTCGCTGCCCAATTATTTGCCCTACGAGCTTGGCTAATCTTGATATCTGGCGACATTCCTGCGCTATCTATGGTCATGCGCATGAAGGGGCACAATGGCTATGCACCGTGTCGCATGTGCAAGATTACAGGCCTTCGAATACCAGATTCCCGCTCAACAACACACTACGTGCCACTGGACCGTAGCTGTCATCCAGACGTCCGGAGTTCTCAGTCGGCAACCAAGCGCCACGATCCTTCGAACTTGCCTATGCGAAGTCATGATGAAATTTTAGCACAAGCTCGTGAGGTTCAGTTAGCAGCAACAAATGCAGAATCCGAACGACTTGCCAAGCAATATGGCATCAAGGGTATCCCGCTTCTCAGCCACTTGTCGTCCATTACATTTCCTTCATCTTTTCCATACGACTTCATGCACTTGATTTTTGAAAATGCTGTCCCAAATCTCCTCGCGCTGTGGACAGGAGATTTCAAGGGCCTTGGGCAAGGCCATCAATCATACGAGTTATCACCTTCTGTCTGGGATGCCATCGGAGCAGCAACTTCAGCATCGGGACCAACACTACCTTACGCATTCTGCAGTCGACCGGTCAACATAGCCACCTACGAGAAGGCACAGTGTACTGCCGACTCATGGTCCTTTTGGACACAGTACATTGGCCCTGTTGTAATGGAACACAAGTTTCTGGAGCGCAAATATTATACACACTTCGTCGCTTTCGTGAGGCTCCTTCGCTGCTGTCTTCAATTTGACCTCACACGTGAGGATGTTGACTATGTTCGGAAGGGCTTCGAGCAGTGGGTAGTGAAATATGAGGAGTACGCAGCACGCTGTTTGTGCTATTTGACTATGCTAACCCACTTACAGATTTTATTACCAGTATTCTCCGGACAGACTCGCAGTATGTACGGTTACGGCTCATGCTCTACTTCATATCGCCGATTCCATCGAGGCAATGGGTCCTGTATGGACGTCCTGGGCATTCCCAATGGAACGCTTTTGCGGATCAATCCTGCCAGCCATTAAGAGTCGTCGACACCCTTACGCTTCTATCGATCGATACATTGTCGACTCCGCTCACTTGACACAAGTGAAGCTGTTATACAATCTCGAAGACCATCTCTCACTGCAAAAACCTCGGGAATCTGAATTGGAGCACGCATTCTCGCATGCCAGTTGTAAGTCCCATCAATCCATTGAGGATTAATTGGGTGTTGATGCCTTTTTTTCGTTGCAGACGAGACATGCATCCTCCTGCCACCACACAGGTCATGCGAAGCCCTTGAATCACGACTCCTCAAGAAAGTGATCAGTCATCTAGCCACAACTTACAACACATCTACTACCGTCGTGAAAACGGTTTGCGGGAGGGAGCACATCACGCAATGGGGAAAGGTGCGGCGCCTCAATGGTGGGGACACGATACATGCAGCCTCGATGGCTCATGCTCGCCACGACACGCGTGATGCAACGTTCATCCGTGTGAGTTTATTTACGGTCGTCATTTCCAATTCCGTTGTTGATGATTAGTTCACTAATGCCCTTTCACTCAGTACGAGACTCTTGTCGATAAGTTCGCCAGGCAACGAACTCGCAAACCAGAATTCATCTTGAAGACTTTCTTTGGTCGGCTCCAACATGTCTTCGTTGTGGTCTTACCTGCTTCACTGCAACTCAAAACTACAAACCCATCCGTCCACTTCTTGGCCGCCATCGAGACATGTCAAATTGAACGCAGTACGGATCTCGATATCCACTATTATTCAACACTGGGTGGACTAGATATGGTGGACATCACATGTGTGCAGTGCGTAGTTGGGAGGGTGGAGACAAGCAATGGGTGGGCGATCTTAGACCGCAGCGGCAGCTTATCCCGTGCATTATATGCAGCCGACGGAGATGATGGACAAGGTTAGCGTTCTACGTGAGACCCAGGCATGACTCGGATATGGACCATAGTATATAGTTTCAATGTACTCGAGGAACATACGGTATGCAGCGTATGGCAACTACGTGATGTACATATATATATACACCGCACGATCAATCGTTGGGAATCGGCGGTTGAAAACCGACAGTTTTGTACGGTTGAATTTCCGTCTCGTTCGAGCCATTCGCCGTTCACCAGGTTTTCTAGTTAATCCACAATCACCAATTTTTTCGACACCCCAGGAATTCGCCAGGTTACCTGGTGAAAGCGCATTTTCACCAGACCGCCGGATGTTTTTCGTCCGATCCAGGTTTCACAGTGTGCATGGCGGGAGTGCATGGGTAATACATTTAGGTAGATAGAGGGATTACCTGGTAAAGAACGTCAAAAACAACCACCCATAGCTGTTAGAGTACATGTGCATTGTCGTCCCACGGGCTTGACACCTTGAGACAAGGGCCGCCACATACTGTAGGTGAATCCAACTGTATCCTCACGCATCGCACGCGAAGTCTGAGCTCTGCTGACTTGTGCAGGTGGATTCTAGATAAAAATAACCGGCACAGTGTTCTGAGAAAATTCCTCCTCCCCTAGGCAGACCAAAAGATCGAATGAGGGCAAAGTTCTTTCTCACTCATGGGTGCTATGATATGGTGTTGGTAGTGCAGAAATTAACATGGTCAGGGGGCTGTACCTGCTGGGGAGGCATAGTGGAGACAGATCGGAAATACAGGACATTGAAAGTTGACGATGCCCGAAGAGAAACAAAAAGGATGCAAAATAAATGCCCACTGGCTGGATTGAACAACCGACCTCATCATCTCCCAGATTGTATCTGGTACAAGTGACGCGCTCTGCCACTGAGCTAAGCGGGCTTGTAGACAGTGACGCGCCGTCTATATAACACGCATTGCAGAGAATTCATAGGATTTATCCTTGCATGTTTCCAGAGTGGATGTTCCGAGCTGTGCACAGATGAGCATTGTGATCATCGTCTGAAATCCGGGACCAAGTTGTAGAGTTGACCGTTAACACTCTGACATGCATGTAGCCGAACACTGCTGATAGATCAAATCCTTCGAGGTTGTGGACCTAATTACCTGATTGTGCACAGTGTAGAACGGATATCTGTCAGATCGGACGTATCTGTCACCGACGTCGTGTAAAATGATGGGCACTGGTCTTGTCCTTACGTTAGCAGACCACAGGAATTCGGACTGTTTACCAGCTTGACGAGTTTTGGTCAATTATCTCACTGTGCCCAAAGGCAGAAGGATCACCAGTACGATACTTTCGTAGGATACTTACTTATCGTTGATCACTCTCAGGCTAGTGCAACATCCGAAGATCTGAATTCTCATCATGCTCATTGGTTCACGCGATGGTTGGTCATCGATTAGACGTGATGATTGATGCTAAGTATACCTGCATCATGCATCCTTAGTTACGTACTTAATAACAGACTTCGCAACCCTTATTGGAGCAACCAGGACAACTTGGGCAACGCGTACTTACATACTCGACTTTCTTTTCTTCTCCCCGCAAGCCCTGCATATGCTAGGTGTCTCACTATGAGGCTTTTGCATTGCGGCAGCAAACTCCTTTCTCTTGCGATGATGGGATTATCCAATCTCAACGTCGTTTATGCGGGAAACACGACGTGTGCTGGAAGTTTGACGGACTGGTGAACACTTTCCTGCAATGACGGATACAACAACTGACGGTCATCATGTAGGTACACGAACGCAGTCGGGGAGACCGCATGTAAGCGATTATTTCTGGTGATAAGTATACGGTTGCTGGAACTAGCTGACCTGGACTAAAGGTGAGACGTACCAGCGTCTCAGACAGATTTGCAACCCCCAATGTAAGTTTGATGGTGTATCATCGAAACCGTCGGCTTTCATACCGTCTCCCCTGCTCAGATCAGGTTCCCTCCTTCCGACCCAATACCCCAGGAGATCAATGTGACGACCAACTACGTGAGTCGTTGTCAGCGGATCTGCGCATTTACACTAAACCGTTTTTCTAGAGGAGTGTTGCTGTAACTCGATCTCATGGGCGCTCAGTATGTTGTGCATGAAGTACGCAGATGCGTTTATGTCAAGTTTTTCCACTCATCCTAACACTTAAATTCATTTTGTCAGTTGCCAATGGGACGTCCCAGGCGGTTCATCCACCGGTATCGATGCCGGTATACTCAAATATTCGTATGCAAATCTGCTCTAACCTACTCTGCGTCCAGGTGTCGGTGCCTATGCCCTGTATCGTGCACCCACCGGTAGATTTTGCAGTCCGGGAACCAATCAATCGTATGGATCCGTTGTCTCTCGAGTCTGTTTCACGATTTTCTGAGGCTTCTTTTTTTCTTCTCTGTCCAGGCTGCCGGCTGACATTCAAACCGCTGTTTGCAACTCTGGCATCAAGTTGGATGACTTTTTGTATGAGCTCTTCTGGTCTGATGGTTCATGGTCAGTATTTCGAAAACATCCATGACGTCTTCTAAGTGTGGTCTGTAGGTATTTGTAAGCGTCATTAACAGTATTTCACCGAATTGCTTTGAGGCGTTCTCCAGCGTGTATACCATGGAAACGGCGAGCGTGGATCAGGCGACGAACAACAACAACACGTTCACTCACTGCAACTCTACGACTCAAACCACAACCGCCCGAACCACCACCACGAAATCGGCCACTTCAACAAGAAGTGCCACGCCAACAAGCGCCCAGTCCACGACTCACGCAACGACGGCAAAGCTTGCCGGCGGTGTTGTCGGAGGTATCATCGGATTGATTCTGATCCTTGGCGTTGCTTTCACTTGTTGGCGAAGACGTCGCACACACCAGGTAGTTCCCACAGAAATTGATGAGTCGGATACCCCACCCATGTCAACGACAATACCACAAACATTCGCAGAACGCAGTAAGAAAGTCCCTATTTCATTATTGCAAACACTCTAATGTAAGATCAGGCCGTAACCAACCGGACGCAACGGGGGTAACGCCGTACACACTGACAGCTTCTGGTAAGAATTGTTACCCCATTGTACCTTGGTCTCAATTCGCCAATTTCTAGCGCCGAGTCTTACTTCCCGGCCTGCGTCGGGTTACGCTTCGAAAATAGGACACCGCCCAGCGGCGAGCAACGTTTCTCCCTCTGTTGCTTCACCGCAGTCCGATGTGGGGACCACACTCCCTTCACAAAGCTCGTCTGACATTATGCAATCAACTGCACCCTCTGAGGGTGCGCAACGTCACGAGGATCTTGGACCAGTATTTAGCTTGGGTCGTTCGCCATCTGGAAGACTACCGCCAGCGTATAATCCAGATTGGGATGCATTACACTCAGGGCCATCCAATTTACCAATAGAGGAAGACCCATCCGCTTCCAGATCAGACGATGTACCCCCCGGTGTCCAGACCAAATAGCACCCTGGCACGACCTTGTTCCACGATACCACAGGATACCACTCATGCATGGACATTCGATATTTACAGTAGATGACCTTACGTATTCTGAATATGCCCGCGTCCATCTAAGTCATTATTCATTGACATCCATGGATGGCAGAGATCGATGACTTCTCAATCGTAGCCTGCCGCTTTGTTGCTCTCGTCCACTAACATTTTGACAGCTTGCGCTATCTCGACTGCACCCTGTAGGTATGGTCCGCATGATAATTAATGGTCGGAGAGAGGGAAATGGAGAACTCACAGGAGTGTCGGAATGGCAACAAATAGACACATCAGAAACATTCTGACCGATGGGTAGGAGCTTTCCGCCCACGGTTGTAACTTGGTGTAGCTCGAGAAGGTTTCGAACCTGCGCAGATATCAAGCATAAATTGCAGTACATGGCAAATCAACTTACCCGCTGACGAACTACGTCGATCGGAACGGGATCGTGTTTCCTGCCGAGACGTTTAAAGGGGGTGTCTTACGCAACAACGAAGCTTACTTTGTTATCAAAAGTTTACCCTCATCGCTGTAGTCAAGATCTGCAAACCACTCTGTAGCATGTCTTAGCAACTTGACGGTGTTGAATCGGGAAATTACCTGCGATGAACGGGACGCCCATGTCTCCCGCAGCTTGCTGGTGCGCTGTCCCTGCTAGACCCATAAATGCAACGCCCTCTGGCCGAGCAGCGCTGGCCTTGAACGTTTTAGCTACCCCGACGACAGCGCGAGCAAGTTCAATCGAGCGCGCGGTCTGTCCATAGACAGCGCCGTGAGGTCTGATCTAGGAGGAAGCGTCAGTTGGTCAACTAACAGGACGACCTAGCCAACGAACGTGATTCATCGGGAGACCGTGCCTCTTGAGAAAACCATCCAACGCGCCTACTTGGTAGATGAAACAGGATTCGAGTTCATCCTGCCTCGGGAAGTTGTGTTAAGGAGACAATAATAATTGGGAAAAGAATGCCTGACTGGTTCAATTGCCATCTCCCTCCTTCCGAATCCCTGCAGGTCTGGAAGAGAGGGGTGTGCACCGACGAGAACATTGTTGCATTTGGCCAACGCTACAGTCTTGTCCATCACACTGAAGTCCCTGACGTGAAAGACGTTTGGAATAGGCGTGTGTAGTGATTGGCTTTGAAACTTACGAAGCATGGAAGCCGCATGCGATGTTCGCCAAGTGTATTGTCTTCATAAGACCTTCATCGTCACCCTTGGCAGGATGGTTAGCAGTGACGTTGGATCGCTAACTTTGTGCTCACGATTTTGTAGAGGGAGAAACCCTACTGGTATTTCGGCAATGAGAATCCCGTCGAACACCTTCCAAAGCTACCAGCGCACCTCTCCCATGTCACAGTTCACCGTAGCGCGCAACGGTTTCGTCATTTGGGAATATCTACGCTGCAGCGATGAGGCGAGTCAAGGGCAGCAAGTCTGCCGTGGGCGCACAGGCTAATACTCCTTCCCTGCGCACGGACACCGGCTAGCACATGATGGCTGTCTTGTGAAACGAGCGCTGTATTTTTACAAGTTGGAGCTAATAAGTTGCGGACTGCATGGGAAACTGATGATAGCAATTATCCACGTACTTGTACTTGGTCGAGTACCATCAAATTAAGAATTCCTTCGACTCTTTGGTCTGCTTAGAGGACCTGCATCGAATCCGTGAGACATTGAATCCACTGATCGTAGTACCAGCGACATGTTGCCTCACCACCCAACCGACGCGTGCGAGCTACCTTTGCGACAAAAGGTTAGATTTGGAGAACAGGTCTCGCGCAGCATGCGCACTATGCCTATATGGCGATGAAACATTGTACCGTCCGTTCCCCTCAAACGCCTCGAGTCTGGACCACCGGATTCAATGCAAGGAAAACTTCTGAGTCTGGTATGGAAACAATTGTTCGAAGTCACAATGTTACGACAGGTCGACCAAATCGTCCAAACGACCTGATGAACGACTGCTACTTGGGTATGTATGGTCTGCCTAGTGCGAATGCGTCGTTGAACAATCTCGCATTTAGTTTCAGATGACGAAACCTATCTTTTTTCTGACGGTTCCTTGCTCGGTCCAAACACGACCCTTGCCAGGTCAACGGCAAGGAAATGTTCGACCGTACCGCACCCGAAGACTCCATGCCTGCTTTTTCAACCTGAGCTCCCAAGTCCCATAGCCATCATCTTTCGGCTTCCATGCTCATCATGGATGTCGATGCTTCCCTCCGTACCCCCTCAAGTGCTGGGGCAGGCCAGGAACCGCCTTCTACTCCGCCCATCAATGTGTCAGGTTCTAGTCGGGGACACGAGTCCGATCATGCTGAGCACGCACATATCCCTAGAAGCCAGGATATTCCCCCCCACGCGTCTCCCCCGTTGGTTGGCTCGACGCTCTCTGTCGGATCAGAAGCACACGAGCTTTC